TTTCTCTCTTTGAAAAAAAAAATCAAATATTAAAATCAACCTTAGTTTGATTTATACTTTCATCTCAGTTGAGCCGTGTAACAATGAGCCTAGCATGAATTGATCCATTTTCCAAGAGGCATATCTCGCTGTGCTTTAGTTTTGCTTCTGCCCTAACGAGGGTCCTTATTCTTTATGTGCTTCTGTCTTGTATGGATTCTGTAACTAATCTGTTTAATGCAGACGCGGTTGTTTTCTATACTTTTATTCCCCCTTATTCCTTTCTGTACACTTCAAAATTGTCTATTCTTAAACCTTGAAAAAAGCAATTCAGAATTCATTAAAGTAATCCATTACAGTCATCCCGTCTAATATATTTCCCTTTAGCTGTGAATGAATGTCCAACAAGAAGAGTATTGCAAGGGACAAATGGCAGTTTCTCAAGTCCACAATATCCTTTAAACTACCCAAACAGTGTTACATGCACGTGGATTATAGAGGTTCCTGAAGGCTACCAAGTTCAATTAACATTCAATACATTTAAACTGGAGGATTGCGCAATTTCGTCGATTTGCACTTGTGACCACGTTGAGGTGAGAGATGGGCAAACAGAAAATTCGCCCTCCTTGAAGAAGCATTGCGGAAACGAGAAACCAACTCCACTTGGATCCTCTGGTCGATATATGTGGGTGGAGTTCGACAGTGACTCAGAGACAACTGAGAAAGGATTTAACGCTTCCTTTGTGGCAGTTTGTAAGTGATTGCAAATAGAATCTAACTAATAAAAAAATAAGATACAATTCGCGTCGTTTTTGATACAGTTTTTTTTTTCGCTTAGTTTTTGTTCCTTTGAGACGTTTCAAGGAAAAAAATTCGACCTTCAGTTGGAATGTATGTAGGATGAAGAAACGACAAGTATTGAAGTTATTTCTTAAAAATCTAGTTCTGACTTAAAGTCAGAGGAATTTGTTTTGGAATAAAACTTAGTTTTTTAATTTTCTTATTTAGCTGACAGTGAATGCCCGAGAAATGGTTTATTGAAAGGCAAAGTGGGCAACTTCTCTAGCCCTGGCTATCCAAAGGAATATCCAAACAGTGTGACCTGCACATGGGTCATTGAAGTTCCTGAAAATCATCTTGTTGAACTTACATTTGACGATTTTGAACTGGAGGACTGTTTCATATCATCAATATGCACGTGTGATCATGTTGAAGTCAGAGACGGTAAGGATAAGAGTGCGTCTGAGCTGGACGAGTTTTGTGGAGACGACAAACCATCGACGTTGATATCTACCGGGCGGTATATGTGGGTGGAGTTTGAGGCTGACTCAAGAACAAATCGAAAAGGATTCCACGCGACTTATAAAGCAATCAGTAAGTTTCGGAGAAGGATACCCTCAACGTTGAAAGAGCTGTATTTCTAGTGTTTTTGAAAACTTGTGGTTAAATACAATACCAAAGTTTTGTTAGAAATGCATTATTCATTCAAAACAGACATCCCCTTAAGGTGGAGCCTGTTTTCAACTAGCGTCGCCTTCGGTTAAATTCGGGCACGAAAAAAACACATAATTTCCTTCTTCAAATTGTTCAATTTGAAATTGAATTCTACTGCTCATCTTAACAAATCAGAATTTTTTAATTTGACTAATGCTCATTCTCAATTTAAAATTTAATTTATCAATTATTCCATGAATCATTTATTCCTACTTCCCTTTTTCATTTGTTTTCCTAATTCAGAAACTGGCATGTACTGTAACACCGCATTTGGATGGAACATTAGCGCAATCGGCTGGTGAGGATCATACTTTGAGTTGTGTTGCCTTTGTGGGTTAATCTTGAGATTTAAGCCTTGGAGGTTCTCCAACGAAGGCTCACCTAGGATTAAGTTATCCAAATTTTCTGTTAAATAAAGCTCAGCAGCTTTCAGTGTTTGTTCTTGTCGTGGTCATTTCATGTTTAGCTGCATTATGTCAAAGAGAAATCCGCTTCCAAAGCTCATTTACAAATTATTTGCAAAACATGTTGAATCCTCCATGTGCTTTTTTGATTCGTTTTAAGTATTTACTTCACGAGCAACGAGGCGCCTGAAACAAATAACAGCATAACCCAACTTAAAACACTAAAAACTGCAGGATTGTTGCAGATTTGTGTTAAGATCTTCGAACGAGTAACCTAAAAATAAGCCTATGTCTTCTTTGAATTTCTAGACCATTATTCCCAGCAGATTTAGTAGCCTTGCGCAGCTGATATTCAAAACTAGACCTTTCACTGAATTGAACATCAGTCGTTATTAAAAACAGAATTTTTTTTAGAGAAAGATGTTGATGTTTAGAGAAAGACATAATTGATCCTAACAGTAACATGTTGACCCAGAATCTGCCTCGTTCACCATAGAATTTCTGTAACTCAGAAGTAGAGCATCGAAGCGCCGACTGAATCTGAAGGTCTAAGATTTGACCCCTTATGGGAAGTGCTAGACAGAATAGTTTCTTTGTCCTACGCTTGTGACAACACGAAAAAAAAATTTTTCTCCATTTCATCATCGACTTTTTTTCTGCTAATATCAGATTTTCTGCATATTGTCTGTGCCCTTACTCGGTGATAGGGAAATGCTTTATTTTAACCTTTTTATTTTTTTACAGCATTGCTGCCACCGTTGGTGTGTTAGGAGGAGGAGTCTTCATCATAGTCTTGATGTGCATTGTGTTGGTCAAGAAACCAAATGTATTTAAGTGCAAGTGCCGTTGGAGTCTCTTCGGCTCCTGTTTCGACTGCGAAAATGCTTCGTAATAGTTGTAATATTCCTTGCTGAGAAAAAAAAGGCTTTGAAATAATCTTGAGAGCATAAAGGGGCCATATTGTTTGATAAGAATACATGCGCTTGGTTTAATTCAGCAGAAGCGTCAGCAATGCGTGTGCCACGCGTATATAGTGTTGTAATCATAAATAATTGTCACCAACTCTCGGAAAGAGCAGCATGATGCCCTTTGCGAAACCCTCGAATTCAGCAAAACTTGTACTTCTCCAAATGTGCGTTTAATAAATCAGGTGACTACGAAATTGTGTCATGGTTTCACTTGCATCTGTCTACTTTGAAAGAAAAAAACAACCTTGAGCCTTGAAATTTTCACTCTATGGGACCTGAAACGCAAAAACAGTAATAAAGTAATAAACAGAAACGCCATAACCATCGGCTGACGCGTCACTGGCTTTTTGCACTTCTCTGTCAGGTTGATGAATGAATGTGATATATTGCGTTCAATATTGATAGAGTCGATCTTTCTTATCGGCAAAGGCCCACGGCTTTTATATAATAAACAAAATAATAAACGGTTACATGAAGATATGGAACTGCTCTTCTCTTGTTCAAATAGATATCGAAGAAAAATTCCGTATCTGCGCGCACACATATATTTACTGTCTCACACCAGATACCCCGAATCTACACAACGCAAGGAAAAATTCCCTTTGAAAAAGGACTTTGCTTAACACTCATTCTCTCATTCGTCAAATCTCGCTTCAATACAAGATGTGAGGTAACTTCACGACTTTGTTAGATGGAAGGTGGCCGCTAACTGAGGCTTTGATTTTGATATAACTTACATTTTTCATCACACTCCTGCTTAACTTCACATGGTATTCCTCGGCACCATTCCACATCTTCACAGTAACAGCCTCCAAACATACCACGACAGTAGTCGCAAGCTAATTAAAAACAAATATCCAAAACATTTTTATCTGCAATTGAATGCGAAAGCGATCTTCGCAGTTGTGAACACTACTTAATTCAGGCCTGTGCGATTTTCATCTGCAACGTATCATTACATGAGCGATTTCTTAACAGTTATCGTGTAAATAAATGCTGGTATGAGAGGACCTTAATGGGGTGATTGTTTTTACGGCTAACGGCTTACGCTGAGATCTCTAAATAACAAAGAAAAAAGGGTAGCCATGTCATGTAATGAAAATGGTCATTGCTTTTGAAATTCTATGGAAGCGACCCTTCCCCCAAAATCTTTAGCAATAGGAGATCTTACACGACTTACACGGTATGAACCATATTTTGGATTCTTTGGGATTATATTTTCTCTGGTAGATTACTGATTCCTGGTTAATTGGCAAAGCTTGGTTTAGTTATACGGACTTGAATATACAAGTGTTCGTTTTCGACATTTTACCTGGGTTGGATTCGGAGCCAAGAAGGTTAGCAGTAACAGGGGCTATGGTCTCCTCAACTACGATTTCACCTTCAGGTGACTCTGAATAAAATGCATATAAAAACATTAACTTTATTTTTCAAATGTGTTTAAATTACCAGTCTCCGACGTAGGACAAGAGATGAGTCTCCTCGGTGGTACATCAAGCAATACCAAAAAACTAGTTTGATTCGTTCAATATACCGAAAAATTGTAGGAAATTAAACTTCTGACGGGCAGTTTTTTCTTTTCGGCTTCTTAGAGGCGAATTGCACTAACTATTCACTTCCGAACTAGCCAATCAGTACGCACAAAAAGTACCATTCACTTGTGTGGTATATAGTAACACTGATTATTGGTGTGAGATTCTTGACATAGTTATACAAGCAATGATACACAGTCACTTGTTTTCCGTCACTTATTTACCCTGTTTGGATTCGGAACCAAGAAAGTTAGTTGTAAAAATTATAAAAATTTGGTCTCCTCGACTCTGAATTTTATGATTACTGAAAAAAAAAATCCAATCACGATAACAAAAATATTTGTGATAATCTAATTCTTCAATGCGAGTAAAAAGGTTTAACTCGAGCCTACTCAGGTTTTAATTTCTAACCTTCTTCTCGTTCATCTGCTATAGGCTTTGGCATAGTCAATTCCATCATAGCATTCGCTTCTTCATCGTATCCTTTGACATCAGCGCCACCTTTGTGAATGATACGTTTCAGTTTTTAAAAAGATTCATGCCTTTATAAGTTGACCTGCCCAGTTGAGCCGTGCCCTGACGACCGAATTGAGAATATATTGCCCTTCAGGAACCACTAATCCTTGATTGAAAGAATTTCAGTGATAAGATTCTAAATCACTGTGATTTTCACCTTACTTTTCACGTTTTCGCAACCAATCCCATGTTGAGGGACTAGTGCGTAACTAGCGCCGGAGATAAGAAAGAGATGATGAGGACTTTATTCGGCGGGAAAGAGGCGCTGGCACAAATATACAATTATTATGCAAACGGCCATCAGTTGACATAAAAGAAAAAAAACTTCCGAGTTGTACATTTTTTTCACGGGCAGTACAGTTAGACCTTAAGTTTTAGACAATGAAGAAAATGAAAACAGTGTTTCTTTGATAGCATCGGCCATAATTTTACCTCATTGATAAGTTACATTTGGATGAGACAGTTCTTACCTCGATTCCTCTGTTGGAAAGGAAACTTTACGCCGTTGCAGAGAGCGACAAACAAAATAAAAGATATAACGCAAACATACTTCATCGTGAGGTCACTACCGATAATAACTTTTTTTCCTTTTCTTTCAATTTTTTTTAGCAAGATCGGATAAAGCCGAGTCAGCCGAGTCAGCAGAGTGCTCTGATTCGATAAGGCAAGTGAAATGAATCGTACACCAGGCTCAGCACTAGTTTTATTTCTGAAAGTTCAAAACAAAATACTGCAAGTCTTCTGTTCATAATCACTAGACTGCGACCGGATTAATTAATAAATTTGCATAGCCCGCGATTTTCACGCTTGCTTTGCGCGCCACTCCGTCACAACTGTTAACGTCTATGGACAAACGACAGAAAATTTATTTCTGATAGGGATTTTCCTGGAGTCAGCTTAGTATATAATCCTCATGATAAATACGTTCTCTTTAATGAACGCTTTGTTATTTCAATAACATTTTCAAATGTTTGCGCTCTTCAAAACTAGTGGTATATTAAATTAAAAGTAACAGAGATAGTGGTAATTGTAATGTTATAGAAATGTTCATGGTCATGTTCAAAATTTATATATAATATTGGATTCGTCGTACTTACAAGAGAGAAATCAAAGACCGCTTTTGAAAATAGCTCAACTGAAGAAAAACAATTAATTTTTCTCGCTTCAGTACAGTTATTTTCAATGGCGCCTAAAAGATAAATATTCTCGAAAAATGGCGCGTGAAATGGCGCGTGAACTTCCCTCGTCTAATTTGTAGTAAATGGTCTCTGACAAGTTAGCTTGGTTGAGGGAACAGTGCATTAAATGAAGTCTCGGCATATAGAGTTTGGGATCTTCCTTTATACCACTAGCGCCTTCTGAGATTCGAACTAGTTATAGAGTACCAGCACCAAAGAACATGTGCAATAATCCAAACAAACAACAGCTTCCCTAATAATATTTATAGCAATATGCGTTCTTCACATATCTCGCTCTTAAGACTCGAGCTTTCGCATGGCAGGCTATTACTTCTTTTTCCCGCACACTGTGGAAGTCCTATCGAAAAACTAAACGAAAACCAAAAAAACCCAAGTTTTCATTCGTTTCCTTAATAAACATTTATCGAAACTTTTCTTTAAGGTACACTCTGTTATCCCAATTAGTTTCCATAATGTTTGTATGTTTATAACATTGGAATTTATACTTCATCACCCGCGATATGTACATTGATTTGTACGTTTATCGTACCATTGGCCTTTACCCTTCGTCAAGGAAACAAAATTTCAACCTAAGTAAGATGAAAAATAGCAATTTAATAAGGGTAAGTAAACCAGATCAAATTTGCCATTTTTGGGTTCCTTGCTCACCCGTTTAACGTTCCCGAACATCAGACATAGTTAGATGCTACACTGGTTTGCAGATTTAATGAATGTAACCGAAGAAGTTACAATTCATAGACCCAACGTTTCGACACTCCTGTCTAGTGCCTTCATCAGGGGTGATCTAAACGCTGCAACAAGAGGTCCTTTTATATGATCACTAATTAGCGGCCTTTTTTCACATGAGGTGTAAATAAGCGTCAGGAAGCAGACCGCCATCGTCACGATTTAGAGGAGCGTGGGCGGAGTTAATGTGCCAAGCCTCCAAACAAAGGCGCTGTTGGTAACGCCGATTAGTGGTGATAATTTTAGAATTATCCCACCCAATTGTATGGTTGGTTAGGCAAGTATGCTCCGATAAAGCTGAATTTTCCTTTTAGCCAAGAAAAACCGCTTTTTGGTGCTCTTTTAACCGTGTACCAAACTGTACATTCATTAAATCTGCAAACCAGTGTAGCATCTAACTATGTCTGATTGTCCACCTGGTTGCCGTGTGAACTTTAATATATTTTGTTCCCGAACATTCTGGAGTTGAACAGGTCAGGAAAATGGCTCGAAAATTAGAATGAAGTCGTTCTTGCAATAAATGGGGTTTGTCAGGCTGATCTAACGTGCAAAACCCGCTTTTACGATAAAAAGTTTCGAACATTCTGATGTTAACCAAGCTTGAAAAATGTGCGTGAACTGCCGTAGTCTTCTTATGTCAAGTGACAGCTGTGATAACTAGCTTCTAGTGAGCCAAGCAGACAGTGTACCAGCTGTTCGTCCAAAATCGCTATTGGACCCGCGTAAGACCTTTGTTTATAGCCTCATGATGGGAATGGAAACTTTGCAGTGTGGCTGGAAGCAAGAATTCGAATTTTAAAAAAAACAAAGCACTATTCTTCTGATGACATCAAGAAAGCATCTATCGTTCAAATTCATTGGACTGCAACTTAATCAATATAATTTGCATAAGTCTTGTTAAATAACGAGTCACGTAAAGCACAAGCAATTTAATCTTTTTTTCTTGGTTTCGATGAGCTAAGTGAATAATTTGTGGAAGTTTTCCTCGATGCATGAACTCCGACTGATGCGTTCGACGAGGGAGATCTCAGTCCTACAGTAGACGGGAGCGAAATTTTATGAGACGGTGGACTGCGGCAGTTGGAAGGATGTGGGGACATGGATGGATGTGCACGCTCCGCAACAGGGACGAATACAAACAATGAATTTCTATTCAATTTTAAGAAGCATTTCCTTTATGAAAGTAACACCAACGCTGCATGACTCACGCAATTTGCTCTATTTTGTGCAAGGATAGTCAGTCTTAATTTGCGCGGATGGTATTATGAGCGCACACAGCCATTTCCCTCACAACACTATATAACCATGTTCACATTTCCGAATTAAATTCCTTCGCTTTTAAATGGTTCGACTTCGAGAGTATTTTCAAAAAAGTATTTTTATCAAAGAACATAACTCGTGGAATGATACTGACCAGTAAACTCAATTAAAAAACGAGTCGGAAGTCACAAAATTCCGATGAACTAGAGTGTTTGGAGGCTCGGTTAGGTCTGTGAAAAAGGACAGACGTACGTGCGTTAGTACTCAAACCACTGCGATCGTTTCCGAGTCGCAGATCGGCTCAGAGGTAACTAAATTGTTGTCATTAATGTTATGTAACTATAAGTCAATTTTCAAAACAAAAATTTGCACGCTGTTCGATACTTTTTCCAACTTTATTAAGAAGCTACGTGCTCTTATACAAATTAGCGCAGACTTAGACTTAGTTACATGCAAAGATCTCTTCTCATGGACGTTGTGTCCATCAGTGTCTTTATATTAATTGCTTAGAAGCGATTTACTACAAGTGCAGCTACGATGCTAAAGAGATACATTTATGCAGCAAATAGCACCAAGTGCCTCAGCGGAACCTCAGTTCTATTTCAGTCTTCAGCGAACTAAAAGATGAATAACAAATCAGAAGGATAAAATGAATTGTAAAGCAACAAAGCGTTCCTCTAATGTCTAGATCTGTTTACCATAATAGAGGAGATCAGTGATCCATAGTTTTTTAAATCAATTTTAATCCATGTAGGTATTTTTCTTATTTCATCTTGGATTAATAATTCTCATCACTACTTGAAAGTCGGTTAGAAATATTTAGAGAACTTACCCTTGTTATGGTGGAGTTTTCGTGCAAACTTCGGAAAAATTTTATCCCTCTTATTGTCCTCGCCTAGAAATGCAAATAAATTGATTGTATAAGAGCGCAGTTCACATCGGGAAACATTATCCACTTGCTGGCTTGTCTGAGTCATGTTACGTATTCAAATCACTATTTCTGATTGGTTAGCAAAACAGCCAATAGCGAGACGTGATTACGGAGTCCGTTAGCGAACCTTTGGTGTTATGATTCTTTAGATCCTTCATCATAATGGATTATCATTGATCTGCGACTGCGAAGATGTTTATGAACGTTACGTTTAAGAGTTTTCTTTCAATTTTCCGATAGACTAACGGAATTCGGGAAATAAGCCTCGCATGGAACTTTCTAAGTGCAGTGAAGCACGAACCATAGAGTTTGGATTCGAGTTCGAGTTGGATATCAAGCTAGAAACCAATTTTTTCTGTGATTGATTGATTGTAAACCTAGTAGTATACGTGTTTGCTAAAAAATTTCACTGTCGGAAGACCCGAATGCGAAATCGGAAGTCTTCATGAGCCGAACTCCCTGAAGAATAGGAATAAATGACATTACTCACATTTATTTTTGCATTTCTCAGGTACTTCACAATCATTACTATTACAGAATTCCACGTCCTGGCAAACACAATCCTCCAACATATAGTCAACGCAGAAGTCGCAAGCTATTGAACAATAAATCCATTGTTACAATTAGAAGACAGTTAAAATACAAAACAAAAACGAATGGGTGAACAGGTAAAAGTTAAGTGCAATTTTGTTGCGGCAGCGAACGATTTCAGAAACTGTTTTTAGAAACCCACATTGCTCATTTGAGATTGAATTTCAATCAGCAACGAAAAAGGACGCGAATTTCCAGTCCTTAATTTTACATTTTGAAATGTGCACTAAGTACCTGATCGGTGATTTTAAGAAAAATTAATTTTGAGCCAACTACAAAGCATTGATCATAGTTATTTTTTTTATCTGCCAGATACTCGATAGGCAACGCAAATATCAATTAGTATTTGAAATAAATCGGTTAGATTTTAGCTCTAAAAAAACTTAAAAACTCTTCGCTTCAAACAGTTGACGGATCTCCGGAACTAACCAAGCGTGAGACTTGGCGAACAAATTCGTATTTAGTCTCTAAATGAATGTAAAAGGGCTATATTTAAGCTCAGCAAGGAGCTACACTCTACGGCTACAAACATCTCTTGAACTGTTAACACAACACAAATTAAACCAGCAGATCTTTGAGCCGAACAACTTTGCTTAAATTGAATTAGTTAATGTAACGAAATGGCGGTTGAAGCGTGTGACTTCTACATACCTTGGCGCTTTACATGTAATGGGATCCTTGCAGCGTTGCAATTGAAAACAATCAAAATCAGAAACATCAAAAATACCGTCTTCATCTCTGGAGTAACACAGATTATTGTACTATGTGAAATGTCTCTGACTCAAAATCGAAATCTCAAAGACGACGATGCGTTCGGTTCAGTTGGCGGAGCCTGATCGAGGTCTTTCGCCAAAATGAATGGTACTCCAACTGTGTGTATCTTTTATTTGTCACAAATACGACGAAGGCCTCGAATAAAAAACAAATGATACAAGAATGATTGGCTAAAGACGCAGAAGGTTCCTTGTTCTCGCGGTTGGCAAATTTTAATGACAAAGAATATTTTTTCCCAACAAGCACCACCTCATTGAACCAAAGCAACGGACTGAAACTGGCGTCTGTTTTTCATTTAAGCAACCGCAAAGAAAACCGGGTATGATTTATGATGCGAATCCATATTTTAAGCCATTGCGAAAGACTTCTCTTCAAATTTCTCTTCAGATAAAACTTAAAACAGAACCCAAAAAACCGAAAAAAAAACTCTATTTGAGCTATCAGATGTCTGTAGCTGTCTTTGCAATGCTTGCAAAGTTCAAGAATCAAGGAACTTCGATGCAATGAAGTGAGACAAACGAGTCATGACATGATAAACTCATAGATCAATATGCGCACTCATGGATGAATGAACAGCAGATTGTTGTATTTAACTATTTTACACCCCTCACATCTGTCAAAGCTTTATACAAAATAAAGAACAAATGACGAATGATGATAAGATATTCCTTGCAATGACTGTGACAACGAATACATCGGACAGACCAAACGCCAGTTTGGTACAAGGTTAAAAGAGCACCAAAAAGCGGTTTTTCTTTGCAAAAAGGAAAATTCAGCTTTATCGGAGCATAGTTGCCTAACCATACAACTGGGTGGGATAATTCTAAAATTATCACCACTTAACGGCGTTACCAACAGCGCCTTTGTTTGGAGGCTTGGCACATTAACTCCGCCCACGCTCCTTTAAATCGTGACGATGGCGGTCTGCTTCCTGACGCTTATTTACACCTCGTCAGAAAAAAAGGCCGCTAATTAGTGATCATATAAAAGGACCTCTTGTTGCAGCGTTTAGATCACCCCTGATGAAGGCACTAGACAGGAGTGTCGAAACGTTGGGTCTATGAATTGTAACTTCTTTGGTCACATTCATTAAATCTGCAAACCAGTGTAGCATCAAACTATGTCTGATGATAAGATATATTTGCACAACAGTGGCTTGCTTCCTGGTGTGAATTCATTAGCAAAACGCCCGGGAAATTGCTTGGTCTTAATTTATGACTAAATAATATACATGAAAAAATTACTCAGTTCTGATTGGTTAAGATAGATGCAGTTTTCAGGTAATTCAGTGCAGAAGAGAGTTAAAAGAAAGAGAAAGTAACAAACCAGACATTCTGATTGGTAAATAATCAAAGAAACTCACAGATAGCCAATCAAATGCGAGCCTTGGATGTCGCAACAAAATTTGAAAATTTGAAAATTTGCGAGCGAAACATGGCCGGCGTTTTAAGTAGGTTTTCTTTCGCCACCGCAGCTGAAAAACAGCTCAAACAACGAAAACACTGTAAAAAGCACTGCTTTTTGGTTGTCGGTTTAGAAAAGTGGTGTTTAGAGAAGGGAACTGCCAAGGAAATCGAAAATTACGAGCCAACCCAGCTTAACACTTTGCTCGAGCGATCCAACGCCGAAATGAAAAAACAAACATGGTTAAACCTCGGAAACGACGATTCCATTTCATCAAAAATGATTTGGACACAGAATGAACAATTTCTTGAACTGTTTAGCCGGATTTTTAACTTTTTTTGCGCCTTAAAGATGTGAAGATATCATGGCATATTATTGTTTTGATCGTACGCGGTTGTTTTGACCGAACGCACGGTTTGAATAAATTATTTTTGCACTTGATGCGCGCGCTTTGCTTATGCTTACTTATGATGAGCTGTCTCGTATTTTTTCATGTATATTATTAACACGTAATCACATGATTTTTCTCGTGCAATTTGGAACAAACAAGCACTTGTTTATTTTTTCAAAGACCACAAATTGTGCGTGCTTATTTATTCCAAATTGCACGAGAAAAATCATGTGATTACCTATACAAATAATATACATGAAGAAATTACTCAGTTCTGATTGGTTAAGATAAATGCAGTTTTCAGGTAATTCAGTGCAGAAGAGAGTTAAAAGAAAGAGAAAGTAACAAACCAGACATTCATATTCATGTTCATATTTTCCCCCTAGTTTTCTGAGGCCTTTTATGTGTTTTACTCAAGGCTCAAAGTACGTGTCTCAGTGATTTTGCGAGGCACTGGAATAGAAATAAAAAATAGTGACCCTTCAAATGATGTTGACACGGAAGGAAAAAACGGTCGGCTTTGCTAATTTGCATATGAGTTTTATGCTAGTGATGAGAATTCTTGGGAGTAGTTGGTCAATGCCTGGTAATTTCAAATTTCATATGTTTCCCACGAAAGGAAACTGTTGTTTTCAAAATCGATTCAATGAGGAGCTGATCTGGATTGCAAAAATTGAAGACTGAATAACTAGGGAAATTTGAAAATACTTTGCCCAAATTTAAAGAAATTGAATTATATTTTGCAATCGTTTAAAAGCAAATCAGAGAGGCGCTTTGGAAGCATGTTGGGCCCAGATCGGGGATAAGACCTCGCCCTGCTGCTTTCTTTTTATTCCTTTTAATTTTCTTTCACAGAACAGTAATACCATGAACGCGTTGAAATAACCTCCTAGAGTGTATTAATATCCTGGGCTTCTAGACGAAAACACACTTTGGAGGGGCTTTGGTTTTTTTGGTTTGATAGCCCAAATGGGATCGCATTTTAAGGCTTACCATCACTTTTAGAGTAAGAATGCCACTTATAAACCCTTGAGTGGAAGATTTTATCGAAGAGTCATCTCTGAAGGAATAAAAGAAAGGTCTATTTGTTAGACCAGTCATTATTGAGGAGGGAGGACGAGGGAGGACGAAGGGAGGTTATAAGGCTCTAGGTGGAACCATATGGTTTTCAAGGAAATTAAGGGGGATCAGTCGTCGCTAACAGAGTATAAAAGGGGGGACTATAGTTGAATTTACTGTCAATGAGGGGGATCGTTAGAATACTACAGAGCCTTACTGGGGTCCAGTAAATTTAGTTGTGACGCAAATAAAATCCTCTCGGCCCCCTCCTTCCGGGCGATAATTAATGACTGATCCCTAACCAAGAGAAACTCGCATTACAAACTGGCCCGATGACTAGCTTCCTTTCCCGTCCGACAAAGAGAGAAACCTAATTATTCCCTCCCTCACTAACACTAAAACTTAAAGATATATTTTCTACCAAAGAAAGTGCAACCACAGTAAGATGGAGTGAGGAAACAGGAAGGACCCAAAGACAAGAACTCACTGAAAACCAAACCATAACCGAGTTATTCTCTTCTACTTTGCGTTCTTAATTTCATCTCATCTATTACACGAATTAATTTATTAATTAACTTATTTATTAATTTTATCAAGTTATGTTAATTCTGTTTGGATTTATCTCAAACTCTACAGAACTAAGCTATGGGCAGTTGTACATCTTGTTCATTTGACGGGCATCTCCTTCGCTCTCTCTTTCTCTTTGACCAAACTCGATCTGAAACGAAATTTCATCAAATATATTATACTTGGGGAAACCAAAAAGAAAAATGGTCTCTGTTAAACAGACAGAAAACAAATCTTCTCCATATTAGTTCTCAATCGAAAGCTAGTGGCGTAGGTTGTACGAACACACTATTCTAGCCACACAAGAAACTGGACTCACAAGTGAATGAGAGTGATTATCATTTGCTGTTATGTGCAATGGCTTGAGAACTACTAACATCACTGCCCAGACTGGAAATGGAAACTAAGTAAAATCACAACACTTAGCTGACTCATTTTGTCGCCTTTCAACTTGAGTTGTGAAAATTTCATTGCTCTTACTCTTGTTTAAAGGACACTTGGACAATGATTCTTTTTATAATTATCATAACAATTATTATTATTATTATTATTATTACTATCATTATTAAATCATGACAGAAATAAAGAAATATTGGAGGCTTGAAACACATCCTTTTTTGCGAGAAAAGGAAAAATTCGAAGCTTGAAATACGTACGCCTCAGTCTAGTCACGTCGTTTGAGAAGATCTTTGGTTCACAACATTTGCGGATTTACACGAGAAGAGGAAAATGTTCCTGTGTACTACTGTAGCAGCACAGTATTTAATAGCAAATTTTTGTATTTGTTTTAGTAAAGCAGTAAAGACAGTCTCACCCCTTTCTTTCGTGGGAACAAGGTTGGACGACCTTTCTTGCTAAAAAACGTACGACCGTAATGCATAACAGAATCGAAGTCATATGGTTCCTCCAACGAATTAATGTGGTTGACCTTCATGAAGTTATAGCCCATACCTACGGGTAAGAGTTTGCATTTTAACGAAGAATATTCACAATAGGTAGTATTAATTTTTTTGAGCGTGTACGCGTCAAATAAGCAACTGACGATTATATTGACAGCCAAAACTTGCCTGAATTTATTTGAGGCTGAGGCGTAGCTATGGAAGGGAGATGCCCAAGGTGCACATGACCCTCCTTCATGAGGTTAAAATTTTTACAAGTTGACAAAATTTGAACCGTATAATTAAGGTGGTGAAAACTCGGGAATCCGAAAAATCTCCATGTAAGGCATTTCTCCTTGCCGGTCCTATGAGCCCGCTGATTCATGAAGTAGAGCAGCGGTATACATTTGTTTACATACAGCACACGAGATTCGTAAACGTGACCCCTATCATGAAAAAATCTTATCTAGTTAAAGGATGGAAATGAGGGGGTGATGGAGAGCCGTTGATACCTTTACTCTTCCTTTTGGTCAAGAGTAAAGGATAACAGTAAAATGATCGCATTAAAAACTAGAAGGCTTTAAAAATACGCTCAGTTAGTAATCTGTGGAATGGTTATCACTAATTTTATGATTACCTTTTTGAATGTTGTACCAGACAACTCTCACGAATCTGTCTCTGTCCAGTCGAGATTGTTCGTGAAAGAACCCAAGAGCGTGACCTTAGCGAAATATAAAGCACGTATGGTCAAAAGCCGCGAGAGCGATAGCAAGCAATGTCTTAGTGAGAAAACTATCGAGTAATAGCAGTAAAGAAAGGATAAAGAAAGGATACTTTATTCTTAAGTCACAATAACAAAATCATACGCTGTTGAAAAATAATCCAGGGTTCTTTAAAATCGTGTCTGAAGTCAGAGAAAATTAACAGAATCCCGTTCAGTGAGGTGTAACAATACTCAACGCTACCTCAAGCCACCAGAGATGTAGTAAGCTCTTGCAGTAATAGGCTTACTGGCTCGTAAGCTGGAGCTGACCTGTGCAACCATACCCCCCCCCCCCCACCCTTTTCCTAACCCACGTACCGATTTCATGAGCCACAGTCCCCATGTGCCAACATCCAGGAGCTAGGTTAACGAACTGTTGGTATCCTTGATATCCCACTGAAGCAGAGCAACTGCAAGAACATATAAGATTCTGTAGACACACTGTTAGCTCCCTAATAGATAATTCTTCTCTTTCGCTATAATTCTGTTGTTGTGAATAAGTAATGAGAATTTGGTGCCAGATCGTCTGTAGGCCAACCCCTCTGATTGGTGAATTTAAATGCCAATCAATTTTTAGATTTCGAGCTGAGAGTTTAATAAACAGAACAGGATTGTTCGTTACGAGATGTCTTTGAGCAACAAGTCAACAAAGTTCTTGGACTCTTAAACAGCCCAAAACGAAGAAATTTAAATGGGAATGCATTATCCAGCAGGAATTATTCGAGGGTGACAAGAATAAAGTAAGATAATGAAAGGCTTCCAGGTAAAGAAAACCGTGTAAGAATGAAGAATTGTAGAGTCCAGTTTCGAAAATGGCCTGAACTGTCCAGTTTTGACACGATTCCTGGCGAACGATGTGACTTAAACTGCTATTAAAGGCGTTTATACAATCAAATTAATATATATCAGTTTCACTAAAATCAGGCACAAACCCGCTTCCTATGCGAAATGTAACGTATGCCCTCTCGGAAGTCCTTTCCTTGAATTGCAAACAGGTTTTGTTTGTCCATTCCTCAATAGCAGCAGCAATGACAGATTTGGCCACATCTTCCCTTTCTGCAAGAAATGTGATGGGCAGATTCAGTTTCTCTGACGCAAGATAAAATCATAGCACGAACGCTGTCATTTTTAGGGGTGTTAGGTAATATCTTAAGAATACTAAGCCTTCCGGGTTAGCTTGTGTGTGTTTCTTTTCTTTTCTTTATTTTTAATCGCATGGTTGTACGGGCGTGGTGATATTTGACAGGGGAGAGCCTGGATCAAGACTAAAGACACAATAACATTCTCCTTCTGTCTCGTCCCAAACTCTTGTCATCGGCAAAACTAACTCCCTATCCAAAGATCACAGACTACTAGCAGGCGATTCATATCCTAAGCATATGAGAAAAAGTTGTTAGATTAAAGTGTCTTCAACTTTAAAATTAATGTCACGCTTACCCAAACTCCAATCGATAGTATATGGCACCATGCCATTTGGCCAGCGGCGAACAAAACGAGCGCTACGTGACTGTCCCAGGAGTAACCCTCTTACTTGCTGTGGCGAAATAATCATGTCACCTTCAAGTAGGTTAGGATTTAAGGATTCCGAATTCTCTTCAAAGGAAGGAATGTGATTCAACTTAGACCACTAGCAATAAAGTCGACAGAAGAAGAACTTATCAATAGTGTTCGTTCCTCTCAATAGTCCAACTTGTTTTTCTCAGAATTTTTCTTAGAAAATTGTTTCATTAGAATATAACTTTGATGTATCAATCCGATTCATTTTCAGAAGAGCAGATTTCTTTGAAAAGAATATCCGCATTCATTCGAAAACGTAGCCAGGCAATAGCAGTGTAGTCCGGAAAGACCAAATTATTAAAAGTCATTTATTTGTATGTGCTTTTCCGTGTCCCTAACGTTTCTTTTAGAAAACGTGCAGTTCGATTATACTAAATAAAAATTCACAAAAATGACGAAAGCAAACCTTCTGGGCTGGAGGAAAGTATTCTTGCCCTAAGAGTGAGAACTGCAAAAAGCAACATCGTTGCTTGTTATACACTTCAGTCAAAAGTTGGTCGCCTTGACCGTGTTTGCAGTTACTCAGAATTAAAGTGTCCCAAAAGGAGACTGTTAGGTGAAGTCCTGCGGAAACGGCACAGACATTGGTTGGAATCGTGTAGCGATTTCATTGGATAATTTAAAGGAGAAACGGCTAGAATTTCTCATCGGTGTTTAAATCTGACTCGCGTTAGCCAGATCGCTCTTAAAACAGTCTTTGAGCATAAACAAATCAAAGTGACTGTAGCAATCTGTTTACTTAGGCAAGCATCTGTTCAATGTTATTTCATAACACTAACTTTGCTCCAAAATGGTCTTCGTCCTTTTACTTGTTTGCATATGGTAAAACGGTTTTTTGATGGAAAAGTTATTGCGTATTTAAACAGCTGGCAAACTTGAAAGGATCGACCTACAAAGTTTTTGGTCTATTCTCCAAGTGAGAGTGTAAAGCAATATTAAATGGTTGCTTTTGTTCGGTATTCCCCGTGCATTAACATTTTTAAAATTCTCTTTTGAAAGTGACGATTAAACCTGGACTTCATTTCTGCGGCTCTCTTAAGTCACGTCTTTGCTTTCTCCTGATATATGAACGTCTCCCCCATACAGCAGCTGGTTGCCGAGCCTAAAGGACATAAACAATAGACCTTTGAGGTGACCTCGCTGTTTACACGAGAGCCAGACAAGCAAAACTCATTCGTACTTCCTTACTTTTTCTTGAGGACTGAGAGAGCGAGGAATCATCACAATCAGTACCCTTTGGTTCTATTTTTTTAAAACAAAATCATTTGCAATACTGGTTAAACTGGTTACTCGTCTTTAGGGTACATTTTCATCTCTTACATGAAATTCTTGATTCAGAATTCTGGACTAGCCCGAAAAGCTTTAAAATTTCTATTCCAGAAAAGAAGTTTTACCTGGAATTTCAGCTGAGCGGATAAAACAGAAAACATTTCTGTCTTAAGAGGGACAATCAACAAACCAATAAAAATTCCTAGCCATCAATTTTATCCATTTTTATTCGTATTAAGCGGATGATGAAATTTCAGAAAAATAAATACTCTGTGGTCCATAAATGAAGACAAAACTTTGGGTAAAAAAAAAAATATAACCTTCATCCAACACCAAAATACAAGTGTAAAATAAATAATTTTTCAAACCCTATTCGTGGAATATCATGTAAAACCAAAAGCCATTATTCTCCTTGCAGAGTAACAACTATAATACAACAAACACTCGTAAAATTGACCCCCAAAAAATTGCTGTTACATTACTTGACATAGTATTTAAAATGCTCACTCAGTGAATCTACTTTTGAACACTCACAGAATGCGGAATGGATGGACAAATATCCTTGTGAAAAATGTGCGCTTTACACCTTAATAATTTTTTGAACAAATTCGTCGTAAATTTGTTTATGAGTCGAAAAAGGGGGCTGCCAAACTTTACCAGCCCTTTTAACTGTATCCATAAGAAAGAACCGATGGGAAACCATCGAAAGCAGGTGAAACGATTTACAGTACAATTCAAGGAGTTGTAGCTAAACCACCTCGCGGAAAGTATTAATAAATCGAACATCAATAAGACGTTTAAAAGACAACATTCTTAAGGAGAAGGGTCTGAACTCTCCAGAATCGCTTTAAATGCAACTAGAGCACAATATTCTTGTCGTCACTAGTCCCTCACCACACTCGGCCATCAGCGTACGCGGGGTGCTGGGCTGCATACTCATGACGGGCAAGACTCTCGCTGTAGTTTGACTGAACGAGCTGCGCATGAACAGTTTGATCTGCTTTGCGATCTCTAGCACGTTGATTCATCTCTTGTCTGTAAATAAAATGATAAAATAAAAGATATCTCATCGAAATAAAATTTCTTTAACTTGCACTGCAATGTCTTATCAAGCGCTGCAAGTTAGCGTTAAATAGCGTCCTACGATTGAATGGAAATCGGTCGATAGAAATCGAAATACAACGCACTCACATCGGTCGATAGGCGTGCTTAATTAAGCAAACGCTCGTCTGCGTGGCGGTTTTGTATAGCTGTGTTTAGTTTTTTAACCTTCCTCGTGTTTAGAAGAGACAGGTCATTTATGGTAACATACCTAGCGCTTGGCCACAGACAGAGAAATGTACGAAGAAAGTCAAGATATAATTAAATGTTTTCATTGTTAAAGACAATCAAAAATACAAACCTCGCCTTAGCCAGAGCATTTTCTTCCATGTCAGTATCAGCAATCACATCAACATTTACGGAGGAGATAACAAATGGTGTCCCGTACATGAAAGCCTGGCCAGAGTTGTAGTATTCCACTGCCCTTTGAACAGACTCAGCGTCTGCAAATAACACCCAGGCTAAGCCATTTGGTTTCCTGAGAATCTGATCCTGATTCACAGAAAAAATTGGCAGATTGGAGAGGAAGAAGAATACTTCCAATACAATTACAAAAAATATATGTTAGCCCCTATTTCTAGGTACTCAAAAGAGTAATCTTTAATCAGTAAGACTAACTAACTGACCGACTGACCGACTGACTACCAGACTGTCTGACTGACTGACTGACCGATTTACCGGCTGATTGACTGACTTATCGACTGACTGTTTGACTGAATGATTACATCACTGACTGTCTAATTGACTACATCACTTACTGACAACTGACTGACCGTCTGACTGACTAACTAAATCACTGACTGACAACTGACTGACTGACTCACTAATTGACGGCTGAACTGACACACAAACCTGCTGTCCGAAAAAACCGTCTTGATTTTAAAAATGAAGCTTCAATGATTTTGGCTCTTCTGAGGTATAGGAAACAATTCTTACTGAAAGGGAATTTTTTTTTCGTTCTATCCGAAGTCCCCTACATTTGATAAATACTACACTTTACAGTTAAATAGAGGAGTTACAGTCTAATAAACAAATAGAAGTTTAAACCTTTAGCAAATAGACTTCCACGACGTTACACTCCGCTTCACTATCCAGCTGCCCTTCCAATTTCTCCGCAGTCACGCTCAGCGGCAGATTACTAACATATATCGCACATGCCCGCTGTGACGAGATTTGCAACCATCCTGGTGCGTCTTTGTCAGCGCTGATAACTCGGTTCCAGTCACCTTGACTCATCTGAGATCTCGTGTTTTCCGTTTGGGAGAGAGCCACAGACAGCTGCAATGCATCATCAAGTGTCAAAGTCCTACGATGTTTTGAGCTGTAGTCTGTTAGGACGGCCAGACTGTCCAGTTTCGGTCCCAGTTCACCAGGTTCGCCCCCAAGTCCGGTGAGGTTGACTGAGAAGTTTGAGGGTGGTACAAAAACGTCTGACGTAGGAGGATCACTACTCTGCGGGTCGAATCCTAAAAAAGTATAAGACAAGGCCGCTTGCCAGTTATTTCACAGACACGCTGCCACTGGTTGTAGGGTGCCATGCACGTTAACGTACAATCCTAGCACGATAATAATACTTCAGTAATTCCTTATCTTACATCAACTTACTAATTATCTAAACGAAATGAATAGTGCAAGAACACTAAAAGAAAAAGCGTAACATATCAACAAGGGAGGCGAGGAAAATAAACTGCCAGGGTACTATGACAAGAACAAAATTATGATGTTAGGTAATAAAATATGACCAGGCATGTACCAAGTGCTTCTGCCAGCCGTTCCATTATCTGATCCACATCTTCTTCTCCCAAAGCTTGTTGCTGACTTTTGAGGTTTAAAACTCCCAGTTGAGAGCCGGAACCAATTTTGCCAACCAAAGCAAGTATCCCTTCCCTTCCGATACAGTTGTCGCCCATAAACAAGCTCTTCAGGTTTGCCAGTTTGTCAGCTAAAGCACAAGCTAGTTTCTCAGCGCCGCCGTTTCGAATCTAACGAATAAAACAGTTGTTTCAATTAGTGTTTCATAATAAAAGCAATTTATAAATACATGCAAACCTTGTTTATTGACAGATCCAGGGTTTCAAGAGAAAGCGAATTTCCAGTAGATTCCAACAAGTTGTTGACCGATGTGTCTGTGAGCCTGTTTGCCGCCAATCTCAATTCCTTTATAATCAGTCCATTCCCTATTGCAGTCATCAGCGGTTTCACGTCTCTATCGTTCAACCCACACCCTATAAGCGACAACAACTCAAAGCTGCAGGGAGTTATGGGTATAAACATGTCTGACAATCCCAGCATTCTTTTCAGAACATCTGTTCCTGACAGTTTGATTCCGTCCAATGTCAGGGAGGAAATAAGTGGGACTTCAGGCGTTGTCACGGCAACGAGCTTAGAAAGATCAGCGATGAAATTTGGTGAAATCCTACATTTCTTTAGAAGCAGCGATTTGAGGTTTTTAAGTTGAGGAAGGTTAACGATTTCGGCGGCGATATCATCAGCAACATTCAACGAGAAGTCAACGGCACACAAGGAATGTACACTTTGATCTACAGAAGCAAAAAAATGGAAAAATTAAAACCAGTTCGTCGCTTAATGTAAGATAGGGTTGAACAGAAAAAAATTTAATCGAATAACATCCCCTTTCCTTCGTGTTTCCCCGTTTAAGGCAAAAAGAAACCTTCAATTAATTGTCTCACAGCGATTTTATTCACCTACCGTCGCCAGTTAATAAGGGTGTGGCCAAAATTACATAAGAAATGAAATCTCACAGAACTGGCTGTCCACCATTCGAAGATTACGTCTCTTTCAAAAATACGATGTGTCATCGAGCTTTATGGGGGCATCTAAGTGTGAAGGGCAGATGCAGGGCTTTGGGTTTAGATGCTAAACCGTATGTCACAGATTTACATGTTTTGCCACTGCTTTGAGAGGGGAGGCTTGGGAAATTAATTCCAAAGTTCTGTTTGTTTAGAATTCTATAATAAAGGATATTTGACAGACAGGGAAAATAATCTCCCACAGGTAAAACGGTCTTTATCAATAACCAAGACAATTACCAGAGGAGGTCAAGGCGCAAATGCTTGATAAACACTTTGTGGTAAGCTGATCATTGCTGGACAAATCCAAGGAAAAGAGCTGATTTAATTTTCCCTGAGCGTTTTCTGCCAAAGTCCCTAACGCTTGATTTGTCAGCGAACATCCTGATATAAGTAGCTTTTTCAGATTCGAACTTCTTTCCAGCTCAATCACACCTATATGGTTACAATGCATTCAAAAGTGAAAGTAAGACAAGATGTAAGTCTGGGGATGAATAGTTGCCAATCAAGAACAGTTACTGCGACTTTGAATGCAAACCGTTAAGAACTATTTCCCATGCCAGAAG